TTTCGGGAATATAAAGGTACTTCCGTCTGGAGAATATGGATACTAAAAATGAAACAGTTTTGAAATGTTTCCTACGAAAAAAATAAAAATCGTCAAATATGCGGAATGAAATAATTTTACAGGCCTTCTCTCATCATGTTTTGCATGGTGTTTATCATGGCGATATCAGTTGAATCCACTTCATGCGTGCTGCCGTCCTGAAGCCTCAATTTGATTCCCATAACTCTCGTATGAATTAGTGGCCCCTCATTTAACATTGTATCAAAACCCTGTAAAAAAAATTAGTTGTCAGATCATTAAAGACAAAATTTGAACTTGCTAAATTTTCGATTCAATAGGCCAAAGGCTTGCTTTTTTCAAAGGAACTATCAAATTCTTTGGTATATTGCCGCCGACGGTTTCATCAACGAATTCAACTTCAGCATTCTTTGCAGGAGGCAATGGCTCCAACATCCCTTCAATCTCACCGTACTGTCCCTGGCCTCCGGTCTGCTTCTTGTGCCGATAATAAAACCTTAAAACAATGATGTTAAAAGGGAAACAAAATTTTGCGATTTAATGATGGCCCAGATAAATTTATAAAGTGAGAACGAAAAGATTTACTTGTACGGTTTTGCAAGTGTTTCACGGTATGCAACGCTCGGAGGGCCCAAAACAACAGGGCAGTTGAATTCGTTTTTCATACGCTGAGCATAAATTTCCTGTAAAATCAATCAGTGGAAAAAAAAAGGTGAATGCTTCAATATCACACTCACTTTGGCACTTTCAAAGCAACTAGAAACTTTCACGTTTGCTTGCTTATAGCCGCATCATCTGTTGATCAACCTACTGGCGATCCCAGCTATCGTTTTTTCGTTTCTCGCCTTCTTTCCTTTGGCGGGATTGACAGAGATGCATACAGCCCAATCACATACGATGGATAATTGAATAATGGTAAAAAGATTGCGGTGCTAATAATTCAGAAGGACTTATCACAGTCGGCAACCAATTTCACATCCGCTTTAAACCTATTCGGAATTTCATTGCTTAATGGCTACTATGATTCACCAAAACGCCCCGAAAGCCTCTTAATATTAAAGAAATAAACGGCCAGAACACCGAATGCCGCTGCGATGATGCGTTTTTTGCATAGTTCTCCTCAGATTTTTGCCGCTAATGGCACTATTTTTTCTAATTAAGTGAATTGAGAATGGATGCGAGAACTGTCAGGAAGCATCTTTTTAAAATTTCAGTTTTCCAGCTTTTTTGGCTCCTGAGTTAGTAGCTTACCCGCAAAAAACTTTCACGAACTCGTACATAGGAACCGCGCATACCAGGTTTGAACTCATTAATACCTACATGGATGGGGAACATCTCCCTAAAATTTCAGCTCTCTAACTTTTCTGGTTTCCGAGTTAGCAGCTTTCTTACCAAAAACTATGGCGGGCCCGTATGTGGGTATCGCGCGCGCAAGAGCGTCTATTTGGGGATTGTAGCCCGTACGTGTATGTAGATTAAGTTGCCAAGGTTTTGAGCCCTGTTTTGAGATGAAAAATCGGTGCAGATGTATACACAGACAACCTCTCGCCAATATGCATTTTCTGCATTTCATAGATGCAAAAAACGCATTAAAAAAAAAATGAATCGCCCCACCAGCTTGCAGCTTTGAAGTTGCTGGATTAAATTTACCTGCTGCTATATCAACTCTCTGGATCTGAGTTGCTTGCTACAGCTCTAATTGAGATTTAACGAAGCTAGCTGTATAAGACAACCAGCTTTTCGAATATTGCCTGAATAGTTTTTTTCTCATAAATACCAATAGCTCATATATATTTATACATAATAGTTTGCGTCATTGCATTTTTGGTTTACACGAATTTTGTAAAATTAACGTAGTTAATATATTGCTAAACTTGAAGGGCAGACTAAGGTAATACGGTAATTAAGTAACGTGGGATGATACGTTGTGGTGTACTGTACAGAAGGAAAAAGCGGTTAGACGAACAAAAAAAAAAAAATTGGCCAACGCACGGGCTGCCCGTGCGAAGATGCGTTTTTTGCAGAGTTCC